TACACTCAAGCATCCTTTTTCGCCATTGGGAGGATTTCTTAAGTTATGAAATTATTGTAAAATTTAAATCTAAGTTGAAATCACGGTCGGATACCGACTGGTGTCGACAAGATATGTAGTTTATTACGCCGTTTAGATTCCATTTTAGATTATTCAGGTCAAACGGCTATGAGCTAACCCTTATTGAGGTAGTCAATTAAGCCGTTTGTGTTTAAGTTTTTAGAGCAATGTACCACCCAAATAGGAGTTGCTCTCTGCAACGAATTCACCCAGATGGGTGTCCGGATATCTTGCTCTTGTTGGAGGAGACGGTTGGTTTAGATTTGGCCGGCTGCACATTGCATAGGCAGTGTTCCCATTGGGAGACATATCTAAAAATGCAAGAAATGAACAATTATTGAAAATAAAAAGAAACTTTTCCTAAAGTATGAAAAATAGTTGCTAGCCACCTCAGGCCAATCAGTTTGTGCAATACGGTGTATAAGTGTATCTCAAAGTGTTTGGTGAATAGGTTAAAAGCCGTCCTCCCGGGTCTGATTACAGAAAACCAGCATGCCTTCATCCCAGGTAGGTATATAGAGGATAACATCCTCTTGAGCCATGAGCTAATGCATCTTATAAATACGAAGAAGGGTTCTAATTTTACAGCGGTCAAGATTGATATGTCCAAGGCTTATGATAGAGTGAACTGGCTCTTTCTTCTGAAAGTCTTACGAGCTCAGGGTTTCTCCAACCACTGGATAAAGATGATTTCACAGTGCATCTCGACGGTTAGTTTTAAAGCTATTATAAATAGGAAAATTTCTGCTCATTTTGCAACTAAGTGTGGTCTGAGACAAGGGGATCCCCTGTCTCCGTATCTTTTTATCATCTGTATGGACATTTTGTCAAGAATGTTAAACCTGGCGGAAGATATCAAACAATTTAAAGGGTTAAAGGTCTCCCGCAAGTCGCCATCGATTTCTCATCTGTTTTTTGCAGATGATGCTATGCTCTTCTTCAAGGCAAATAAGGAGTCATGTTTGTGTATCTCTGATATCCTGCATAGGTTTGGTAAAGCTTCTGGTCAGCAACTCAATCTCCAAAAATCGGTTATAAAATTCTCCCCGGGAGCTGACAGTGATATGAAATTGGCAATGAAACAGATTCTCTTAATGCCAGAAACTAACAACATGGGGATTCATCTGGGAGCCCCGATAGATGTTCAGGGGAAGAAGAGCAGTTTTTTCAACTTCTTAGTGAATAAAGTCTCAGAAAAAATCTTGTCTTGGGCCCCTTTAAGACTTTCCCAACCGGCAAAGCTAATTCTCATCAACACGGTGCTAGTAGGTATGTCTGCTCACGTTATGAAATGTCTCAAACTTCCTCAGAGTGTTGCGAACAGGATTGATGCTTTAATTACCCGTTTTTGGTGGGCTAGTACGGGGGCTAAAGGGTTACATTGGGTGAGTAAAAGTGTAATCCAACTCCCAAAGAGCATGGGAGGTCTGGGAATTCGAGGATGTTCGAGCCTCAATGATGCGCTGCTTTTTAAGCAGGCGACTAGGATGCATCTCAACCCCCAACTTCTGGTTTCAAGAGTGCACAAAGGCTTACAAATGTGTGGCATATGTAATCTAAATGGACAGAATAGAAGAAGAGGGAGACCATCTATGGGAAGGTCAAGCCTTCGCCTCGCCACCCAATCCTTTAAGGAGGGTTTTGCTTGGAAGGTGGGGAATGGAAAGGATATCAAGGCCATTAGTATGCCTTGGGTAAACGGTATTATTCCAACGGTTAACTCAGGTCAAACGCTTAGAACCGCGGCTAATTGGAAAGTGGAGGATTTCATTGAGAAGGAGACCAGAACTTTGAATGAAGGAAAGGTAAGGGAATGTTTCGACTGTGAGAGTGCAAAATTGATTTTGTCCATGGAACTACCACAGTCAAATGAGGAGGATGATTTCCTTTACTGGAAATATCACCCATCGGGTAGATATACGGTCAAAACTGGATACTACTACCTATCAAAGGATTGGGGGTTAGAGAGATCCACCTTTCTAGAAAAGGATCAAGAGTTTGTAAAATTAATTTGGAGATTGGTCATTCAGCCGAAATGGAAAGTTTTCCTTTGGCGGCTTTTTCATGATGGAATTGCAGTCAAAGTTAACCTGGCTAGAAGGGGAATACGAGTAGATGAAGTATGTGATCAGTGTGGGGTAGACTTGGAAGATAGCCAACACCTCTTCAGGTTTTGTATTCTGACAAAAGAAGTGTGGGAGGATAGCTCCCTAACTATTTTCCATGACTCTCTTGGGTTCAACACTTTGAAAGATTGGATCCAGTACTATATCCTGCTATTCAATAGCGAGGATGGTAAGCACAGTAACCGCTGTGCCTTGTTTATTGCTTCTTTATGGGGGCTATGGAAGTCTAGGAATGCCAGATGTTTCAAGGATGCTACGGGGTCGATAAGTTTAATAAGAGAATTTATTCACCTTGCCATGGATGACCATGAAAAGTTCAAGCATCAAGTGAGGCCATCAATCATGGTAGAGGTCAATGATGTGGACCACACGACCTTTCCCCCGGGCTATAATTATGTGCATCTGGGTAAAGAAAAGAATGGTTTTGATGACTTCATCGTGGAAGCGGATGGATCCTAGGATAAGAAAACAACGAGAGCAGGGATAGGTTGGGCAGTTAAGGATAATCATCACAGGTTTGACCTCGATAAAGGTGGTAAACATGGAGCAGCAGCGTCAGTTATTCAAAGTGAAGCCTGGGCATGCCTAGAGGCCTTGAAATGGGCTCGAGCAAAAGGGAGACAGGGAATTCTTCTTTTATCCGACTCTTTGGGCCTTTTGAGTAACTTACGGATGGACCCGGGCAGGGAAATTTCTATTGCTTGGTTACTAAAGGAAATTAAAGAAGTGGGGGCATCATTTCAAAGGTGCACGATTTTAAAAGTACAGCGAGACCAGGTACAGGAAGCTGATGACATTGCTAAGAAATGCCGGGTTAATTCATCTAATTTGTTATAGTTCTGTTCTTGTTCCTTTGCTATTGTCCAAAAAAAAAAACAAAAATTTAGAATTACATGTGCATTAATATTCAACCAATTTAGCCTAATCTAGTTTGGAGAAAATTAAATCTTTATTTGTATGTCTTTGAGATTGTAGAAAATACTTTTCACAATAAGAATCGAGTAAGGATTAATACGGGCGAATGTGACTTCCATGACTCACTTCGTACCATCATCCCTGATCGTCCTTTCGTGGTTACGAACCATATGGAGTTAGTAATCTCATGGATTATGAATGGGGTGTAACCTTTACGGGTCAATCGTTGTTGCCTTTCATTGTCCTTAATTGTGGTTGCCTTAAATGATCCGTGAACGATTTACAAGTTCCTTAATAACTTATTGGCGGCTCCCTACTTTTTTGTTCCTAATTGTATATGTCAAATCCCGCTTCCTATGATTGCCAAGCATATTTACACATGTTTAAGTAGGCGCTTTCAATCGACGCCTATAACAAGGAAATGCTTAGTAGAAGAGCAGCAAATGAGCCCGCTAAACAAGCCGAGACCAGACGGACTAGGCAGCTCGCTAGAGCAGAGCAGCCAAGCAAAGCAAAGAGTAGGGTCAGAGAGACGTTGATAGGTCATTAGGGCTCAGGAAGGCTTGATCCTTATGCCTTGGATTGAGTTTAAAGATGCCCTTATTCTAAAAAGTTTAAATGAAAGTCTTGATCCTTATGCCTTAGTTTGTGATTTTCATATATTTTTTTGTTTTTTGTGAACTAACGTGTTGACTAGGTCCAAAAAAGGTCTTGCAGGTTTTTCTAAAAAAGAAACAAATTATAAATCAAGTGAAATTTCTAAGGTACTCCCGGGTGCACCATGCGCATGGTATACCTAGAAAGAACATTACACTTATGTTTAAAGAACACGGGCAAAAAAAAGAATTTTACATACATTTACAAAGAACGCGAGCATAACATGTTCATTGGGTATGAAATATATGTTCTTTACATTATAATCTATGTTCGTTTATTAATGTATGTAGATTAAAAATTTTCTTTGAGTTTCTATAATACAAAGTATGTTCTTTTACTTGAATAATTTGTTCTTCTATGCTCATGTTCGTTTATTCCTTTATGTTCTTTTGGGTATTATATTTGTTTAATCATTGTGCTATTTTCTTTATCCCTTGTGTTCTTCAAAGTTTTTGTTTTTATTGTTAAGCTTGTATGTGTTTTAGTGTATATGTTATTTGAATTGATCTCTTATATTGTTTGAATTTGACGACCCTTAATCTTCAATATCGTTTATTAAATTATATTTTTTTGTATATTAAATATCATCTAATTGTGTATTTTTTTTAAAAAAAAAGATTTATGAAAGTTGATGATGACATTATACTTTTAGATACTCCTCTATTGATGATTGATTTTCAGATCTAAATAACATTCGTAATACTGTACAAAAGTAAGAAACGGATGAAGAATGATTTAAGAATTTTAGGACTTGTTTGATTGCCTAACAAATTCATGGGAAGTTTATTTTCCTAGGAAATAGATATATGTATACTTGTTTGATTGACAATAATGTAGGAAGTGGGACTTCCTTGGAACTTTTACTTCACACAAAATGAAGAAATTAATTTACCTAGCTCCCCTTAGGTAAATGAAACTTCCCATGGGAAGTAAAAATTCCTAAGTCCAACCAAACAATATTTGGCAATTCCTAGGAATTACATTTTTATGTGCAATGAATTTTCATTGGAATTTCCACTTTCTACGTCCAACCAAATAAGCCCTTATTTATTGTGGTCACAATAAAGTTGTCGTGCAAGAAATAAACATGGCTTCCCCACAAAACCTATGGGGAAGCATATGCCAAAATTTTTTGCAATTATACTCTTTAAGTTTAGAATATCCCACGAGTAAGGTGCCTTTGGATTCCCCCCCCCCCCCCCCCCGAAAAAAAACACCCCAATCACATTGCCAAAATATTTTATCACAATCAAATAAAACCACACATCATCAGTCAGCTCTTAAATAATCTATCTCCTCCTCCTACATATATTTAATAGTCTCTATGATGACTTCTTCTCTTTCAATAAGGTCTTCTCTTTCTCTCTCCAATTGTCCCACCTGCTCTTCTTCCTCTTCATCTTCTCTCAATTCTTTACATTTTCCTTCTCAAAGACAAATACCCATTTCCCAGAAAGTGTCCAAGATTAGATCTTTAAGTTCTAAAGTGCAGAAATCAGAAAGGGTAGTTGATAGATTTGGTGTTAAAGTTTGTAAAATGGCCATTAATGGTGAAGAACAAGAGGCTCCTTTGCTTGAAGAAGCTGAGACTTCTAAACCTCGTCGGATTGCTCTTTTTGTTGAGCCTTCTCCTTTTGCGTTAGTATCTTTCTTTTTTGCTTATTTTTTGGGGTTTTGAATTTGTGTTGAATAATGATGAACCCCATATAATTTCTTAGATTTTAGTGTAAAATGGAATTTCGTCCTTGAATTATTTATCAACATTGTTACTATTTCATCATTTAATTTTAGATGTTGGCTAATTATATGTACTGAATCTAAATTGTACTTCCTTGGTCTAAATTGTTGGCTAATTATATGTTGTGATTTGGGGATATGGGTAATCTTGAGCTTCATTGGTTTGCTAATTGCTAATATATGTGACAAGTCTTTGACTACAGTATAATTTTGACAATTTTACTTTCTTAAGATATTCCAAACATTTGGCAAGTTTATTATTCCTGTTGAATTATGCCAAATTTATCTTGAGTTTTATTGATGATTAAGTTTTGTATTGCTCCTTTAGACCAATACTTGGTGTTGAGATTGTATTATTATTTTTCCAAATTCTTTTGATCCATGATAGGCGGTAATGGTTATGACTTTATTTGAAATTTGATTAGTGGAGCCAATATCCATGGTAATGGTAATGCATCTCAATTGGATTTGTTAATCCCTAAGTATATGCTTTTCTTAATAAATACATCACCAATCAATACCACCTATGACGACCATATATATTGTGGTGACGGATGGTAACAGAAGTATATGGCGAGGGAAAAAAAAGACATATTTGGGTTTGGAAGCACTTGGATGTTGACATGGGACATTCCTTAAAAATTACATATAAATTCAGTATCATTCCTTCTATGTATTATTCCCTATCAAAGTATCAAATACGAAGTAGGATGGTAAATCAAACCTGGTTTCTAAGGTCTTTTATAGCCTTAATTAAATTATGAGAATCAAGCAACTATGTTTTTTGGTTTGGTGGAGATGCTTCTCCAACAAACAAATGTTGTTGTTGGACATGTCTTGTATGGTGTTTATTTCTATAGACAAGTATTCAAATTATACTAATGGTTATTGTGTTGATAAAACAGAGAAATTACAATACAGTTGCTGATTATGTTTGCATTTCTTTTTTGTATTGCAGTTATGTGTCTGGATATAAAAACAGGTTTCAGAATTTCATTAAATATCTACGTGAAATGGGTGATGAGGTACAGCCTTCATACTTTTATATTCTTACTGTTTTTTGATGCAAAAATTCTTACTGTAATTGTTGCTATTTATCTCCACTTAAGTTAATGGTAAATTGGTAATTAATGACGGCCGTTAATGGGAATGAATTGTATATAAAATTTGCTAATCAATATCCAACCTATGGTACTGTTAGTTCATTCTGTATTGTCCCTTTTTATTCACAAATTTTCATTACTATCCATTATCACTTAGGGGGTGGTATTGGGTGGTAATGAACATTTATGAAGAAAATACAAGTTTGGGGAGGACATTGCACTACTATGAACATGAGATGATTCCTTTTCTTTTCAAATTATGCTTATATGCAGAGATGATACTTTTCTTTTCAATTTTTGCTTATATTCATTCCCATTACCACAATTTCTTTTTCAGGTTTATCTCTTGCATTTTTTTTGCATGATGAAATATGTCATGTCTTTTTTGTTTTCCTAGCTCCATACCTTGATTATTTTATTTAATTTTTCTTTGATCACCTTTCTATGCTTTTAAATGTTTGGAATGAGACAAAAAGGTCAAATAGAAAATTACAAAGGCAATATGGAATGTGTGTCACATGAACTGGGCCTATTGGCGTAGAGAAACAGACCCTTTTTGTTTAATCTACCTTTCTTGACATCTTCTCAGGTTGTAGAAACCACTCCTTAGAGGATTGTCACTTCAAGAAAGCTTAAAGTAAACAAGTTGTGACCATGAATGAGAAGGATGAGAACCTATTATAGACTATATGGATTCAATATTAGACTTGGACAAATGGATCATAATACTCGTAACACAAAAACTTGAATAAGTGTCAGATTCTATTTTAAAGATTCTAAAGATAATTCAATAAGACGAGAATGTAATTCACGAGCAAACTGCAAATATATGTTGTTGCCTCCTTTACATCATGTGTACTGTCTATTAAACATTTAAACCTAAACACCTCCCTTGTATAATATGTTATTAAATACATCAAGCATCAGATTGAACAAGAAAGGATAAAATAAGGTTACATTGTCCAAAAATTCTGGAAATTGAACTATCAATGACTATCACAGTATCACATAGGACATAAGAAATATGAGGTTAAAGACAATCTAAATCCACTTCCTCCATTTAATACCAAAAGCATTTTACCCCGTCATTGAATGTAAGGGACTCCAACTAGCCCTATCATTTACCTTCTCCGTGTTGTGCTAAATAGTACCGATAGAGTAACCCGCTTGATTGATAGTTGTTGATCAGCTCATCCAATTTGTGCTATTCATTCATCTAAAATCTGCCTACCCTGCACATATGCACTTTGGTCAGGAACATCAGTAGAAGCTATTTACTTGGAGAACAAAGTCTTAGAATACTAGTGGCTATATGTTTGACTGCTCAATCTAGATTCCAAATGTATCACACACACACAAAGCATACAGAATGGTAATTGTTTACCTTTCCAGGTGATGGTTGTAACAACACATGAAGGAGTACCAGAGGAGTTTTATGGAGCAAAGTTAATTGGCTCACGAAGGTTGGTATTGTTGCTTTAAGATTAAGCATCATGATTGAATCATCACTTCATTATATCTTCTTAAATAACGTGGACTATACTGCTTTTTAATTTCCTGGCATGCCTACTATGCTGTTGGTACAGGCAATTATCTGTTTCTGCAGTGGCTTATAAATAGGTGCTGAGGCATATGGAGACATGGTTTGTTCCCCTTTTTTTGTTAGGTGGGACAATTTTGATGAGACGTGCGTTAGGCGCGCTGGACCCAAAACTGCACAACTGCTTTGTTTTAGACCAAAATTGCTACTTGTTATTAAGTTTGTTTCACTTCAATGATGCATAAGACGCAGAAAAATCCATATTACCTTTGTGCACCTTGAGCCTTTATTATACATTGGTCTTCAACCTTTTTATTTCAACTTTATGGATCCAACAACAATGATTTCATTTGCGAAATTCCATGGGCTATGGTGTAGGAACTTGGCCTTTGTTTGCTATTAAATGTATGTCTTCATATGTAACTGAATAAAGGGTATGCACTGTCTTTTAACCTATGCTTTACGATATCTATTGGATGCAATGTGTAAAAACTTTCTCAGTTTTGCTTCTTCATTAATTTGTTACATGATTTTGAATGGAGCAAATAGCAGGGGTTGAAATAAATTTAAAGCAATCCTTGTAAATGTGTGTCCTAAAAAATTTGTTATTAGGTGCATGAGAATGTGCGGTTTCACCTGCTGTCTTCTTGTCTTTTTGTTGATCTATGTCCGCTGGATTGGTGCTTGATGTCTGTATGTCATAATATTATTCCTAAAAGGCTCTCGGCTATCTACGTCCCACTTAGGTTTAATGCTGCTTCTGTGATTTTGCAGTTTTCCTTGCCCATGGTATCAGAAAGTCCCTCTCTCTTTGGCTCTTAGTCCCAGAATAATTTCAGAGGTTGCAGCATTTAAGCCTGATATCATACACGCATCATCTCCTGGTATCATGGTGTGTTGGGATGAAAATAAATGCTGTTAATTTTGTGTATCAATTTAATCTCTCTGATTAATTGTATAAGCATGGTTATTAAGTTAATCTACATATCTGTAGGTATTTGGTGCACTAGCCATTGCAAAAATGTTGTGTGTGCCAATTGTGATGTCATACCATACTCATGTCCCTGTGTAAGTTACTATATTTCTTTTTTTTTTTTTTATTTGTTTTTATTTCTTTTCAGCATGACAGTACCTTTAATGTTGGGTGTTCCTATAGAACCAAAATTTTGACTCTTGTATATCTACAGATATATTCCAAGGTACACTTTCAGTTGGCTAGTGAAACCCATGTGGCTCGTCATTAGTAAGTGTTTCTTGGGTATCTGAAATTGGTTGCTATGAATTATCAATTTTGTTTATCTAAAATAAGCTCTGATAACCTCCTTTCGCCAGAGTTTCTGCACCGAGCAGCTGACCTCACTCTGGTACCTTCAGCAGCCATTGCAAAGGATCTATTGGCAGCAAAGGTAACAGCAGGTAATTATTCTTCAGCGTTTTGAACTTAATTCTACTAAGTTATTATCCTTAGAATTGCCTTTTTATTCTCGTGAGAATATAGGCCAAGTTTCTTATGCTTCCACATAATTATGTTTCTAAATTTATTTTATTTATTTAATTTTTTTTTAATGTGTTGACACAACAGACAATAGGATTCGTCTATGGAATAAAGGAGTAGATTCTGAAAGCTTCCACCCTCGCTTCCGTTCATCTGAAATGAGATGGAGACTTAGGTAAAGTGAAGATATTTTCATAATTCATCATAGGGTACTATGTTACATGTGAGCTTTTTTCTAACTATTATATTTGATATCCTTGCTGCTGTATCAGTAATGGAGAGCCTGACAAACCACTCATAGTCCACGTTGGTCGCTTAGGCGTTGAAAAGAGTTTGGATTTTCTTAAAAGGTATTTCTCGCTACAGGAAAGTGTTTATATATAATGACAGAAAATTTGTGAATTGATATTAGGATTCATAGATTTTATAAAATTTTCCCTTCTGTATAATGAATTGCTGCTTTTCTCTTGGCAAATTTTAATTATTTGGAATAGTATCTTAGCTAGGTTGTTTTGACTAGCCATGTTAAGATAATGTGTAACTTACTCGAGTGTCAGTTTGCATGTCTTACACCTCTTTGAGCATGGGTAATTAAGTGGAGGCATTAAAAATTCTGGTAAAAGGAAGCAAAATTTTGTGCATCTTGAGACATGTGCATCTTTTGAGCATAATCTGCATATTTTCAATGTTAAGTTACAGAGTCAGTTCCAGTGAGAACGAAGTCTACAATGTGAACTGATAACCAATTTTGCCCCTTATAAGTAAACACAAATTCTTATATGTGTTTGGCCACAAGCCATGAAGGGGTTACTTCGTTAGTGTTATAGGGGTTACTTGTTCACTGTTACAGGGGTTACTTCGTGAGTGTTATTGGGGTTACTCCGTCAGTGTTAAAGGGGTTACTCGGTTAGTACTACAGGGGTTACACGGTTAGTGTTATAGGGAGGGTTTGTTTTCTTACAAGCGGGTCACATGGTGCGGCTAGCCGCACACATGACGGGCTGATCATTAAACTAATTTGTATTTATTTTAATGTAGTGTATATATTCTTGCAACTTTTTGTGCTTGATGTCATTGAAGAAAATTCAAAATCATCTATTATGTTGAATCCCACCACTTTTTGTTTTTAACCGATCACTTTCAGTTTGACGCATAAGTATTTGATGTTGGAGTTTGTTTGCTGTTATATTCTGGATATTTTACTACTTTAGTCTGAGACTCTGAGTCTTCCACAATTTAATTCTGAGTATTGCTTTATTCCCAGTAGTAGTGTAGAACTCACTGGCTATTTCTTGATAACTGAACATAGGGTTTAACTATTTCTTTTTTTTGACACTGGTCATGGGAGAACATCCTATTGTAATCACGAGGTTTGCTGTAGTAATTTAATTTGTCTTTCCCTGAGATTTTAACGTCTCAATACTTGATAAGATCTGAAATTGCAAATTTGGAGTTGCGAACTGTAAAAGCTTTGTGCTAGAGGAGATTTGCTTCTAATATTTCTGTTTCCTATTGCACCATATATATCTTGTACTCTTAATTTGTTAGACCTAAATATCTGACTTGTGTAATTGATCAGGGTAATGGATGAACTACCAGAAGCAAGGATTGCTTTTATTGGTGATGGTCCTTATAGGTAAGTCTCATCGAGATCTTCTTTGTGCCTTTGTAGTAGATAAGGTCATGCATTAGTTCAACCTAGCTAAAGCTGCTAGGTTTTGGAAGGATATATGTACAAAGATCTCCAGGTGCCCTCCTTTCCTCTACCCCCCCCCCCTTATAGGAGAGTCATACCCGTCTTTTTGCCTAACCCGGCCTTCCAATCTTTTCACCCCCCCCCCCCCCCCGGGGTCCATGCACTCAAAGCCGGATGCTTTAGGGTGCCCACGTAACCAACAGTTAACGACTTATGTGATTATATAATTGATACTTTTGTCTGACATCATTTGAACTGCAATGCCACTGTGGTGAGCCATGCTTTCTGGTTTAGTCATTTCCTTAACAGACAAAAAGGCACTTCCGTAGTCAGCTGATATGTCTATTTTATCAACTTTAATGATGTAAATAATTTCCTTTCAGGGAGGAGCTGGAAAAGATGTTTGCTGGTATGCCTGCTGTATTCACTGGAATGTTGCAGGGTGAAGAACTCTCTCAAGCATACGCCAGTGGTGATGTTTTTGTGATGCCCTCAGAATCCGAGACTCTTGGTCTTGTTGTATTGGAGGCCATGTCATCTGGAATTCCTGTCGTGGGTGCTCGTGCAGGAGGAATCCCTGACATAATACCTGAAGATCAAGAGGGTAAAACTGGTTTTCTCTTTAGTCCTGGGGACCTTGATGATTGCCTCAGTAAACTGAAGCCTCTATTGCATGATCGAGAACTGCGAGAGACCATTGGGAAAGCTGCTCGTGAAGAGATGGAAAAGTATGATTGGAGGGCTGCCACTAAAACGATACGCAATGAGCAATATAATGCAGCAATCTGGTTCTGGCGTAAAAAGAAGGTACATCTGATGAGACCTGTCCAGTTGCTGCTTAACTTCTTTGTAAAATCACCACAAGTAAGCTACAGATGACGTAGATAATTACCATTCGCGGTGTTCAGATCTGCAGTATGATGTTTATAAGGGTTGTTTGATGGTCTTGAAATTAAGACCTTACATTCGGATATTTTATTTGTGATTTGATAGCCTTTTTGTTGTATATTATGGGCCTACCTTGTTGTGTCTAAAGGCATTTATATATTGATTTGGATGTTAGCTTAGAGGATTTATTATTATTTCGAAGTAACTATTTTCATGTAATAACACAAAAAGAAAAAAACAAAAAGAAAAAAAAAAGCTTCGGATTATTGTTAGTTATTCAAGTTCCATTTCTAAATAATTGACATGTTTTACTTTTTTTTCAATAATCATTTTTTTTATTGATAAAGTAAGGTACATGGTAATAGTCCCTCTATCATAGGGAAGGATTATTAAGATCTAGAAGTCCCCCTATCACTACAAAGACTAATAAATTAGAGAAAAAGGAAAAGTACAAACTACGGAGAGATTCTCAAGGAAGCTAGTACAAGTCTTCCTAAAGAAGCTCATCCAGAATCTAAACCACCAAATTTGACCACCGACGACCGAGGCAACCACAACCAAGTTCGGCGGCAAGGCGAGAACCAAGCTTCAAGGTACTAGGAGCAGATGCTGTTGGGTTTCGTAGAGTCCGACGCTACGCGGAAGAGTTCGCCCAAGGCCCGCACACTAATTAAAGCGACTAAGCATGCAATCACAAATTAAACAACAAATAAGAGAGAGAAGGAAAAGACATTTTTACCTTGGCGCGTGCTTCGCTCGAACCCTAGCTCTTACTTCAAAACTTGAACCCCGCAAATGCGAAGGTCTCCGGTGGCTCGTACCCACGAACCCGACCCGAACGATCCAAGTCCCGAAGGTTAGTCGGGACTCGACCAATAAAAACTAGAATTTTACGAACTTAAGGTTTTCTCACTTTTCTAAGGAGATGTCTTTTTAGTTCCACTCAAGTGTTCTTCCCAAATCCCAAAACCTTAGTATTTATAGGGAAATGAACTTGAAATTCCCACACTCAATCAATGTGGGAGATTTGCAATTTTCCCATTTTATTTTAATAAAAACAAAAATAAAATTGCAATTCAATCAATAAGTTACAAGTGGCACAAGGAGGATGAGAGATTAGGTGAGGACCATTTCCAAGGGGAGAGACCATAACCTTGCTCCCCAAGGCAAAGCTCACACCCTTGGTCCCCACAAGAAAACCGACTCTCCCCATCCAAGTGGTTGGTTGGCAGCCAAGGCTGCCAGCTGGCGCCGAGCACCAAGGCTGGGCAGCCTGGCCAGCCAACCAGCACACATGCACAGCCAGCCGCAAGCATAAGCAGCCAGCTAGTGCATGCGTGCTGCTGCCCAGCCACACATGCTGGGCGCTATTGCTAGGCGAGGCATTGCGAGCTGCTTGGTGCATCATTGCTGGGTGTTGCTTTGCAAAGCGCACACACACACACGCATAGCTCATCACGCTGCTGGCTGGTGCGTGGTGCTGTGCGATGCTATGCGAGGCACACGCACACACACACGCACAACCCAACACGCTGTTGGCTGGTGCGTGGTGCTATGCGATGATATGCTAGCAATGCCCCAGCGCCTAGCTTGCTAGCAAGGCCTAGCCTTGCGATGCTTTCTTGGCTAGCTGTGCGCCAGCGCCTAGCATGCTAGCAAGGCCTAGCCTTGCGATGGCTGGGCGCATGGCATGCTAGCACACACGCAAGGCTGCGATGCTTGCGGTGGCTAGCTAACATGCATGGGCCTAGCACGCCTAGTATGCTAGGCTTGCGACTAGCATTGCGATGCACATGCTAGCTCGAGATAGCCTAGCCCTCGCATGGCTAGGCCAATGCGAGGCTACGGCCTAACTCGAACTTGTAACTTGATTGATTTCATGTCTCGTCGAATTCTAAATTCGACTTGACTTGCGACGCTCGGTCTCGACGCTCTAAGCTCGATATCCGACGTCTTTGTTCGTAAAACTCTGTTGACTCACCAAATCCTTCGGATTGATTCGTCGTCTCGGATCGGTTGTTCGATTGGGTTTGACCCGAAGGGTTCAGTCAAGATTAAGCTGTAATATTAATTGTACATTAATATTACTGATCAGAAGCGGCCTCCACCTAGGCATTACGATCACTTGGCCTTACTGAAGAATTATCTTTCTAATAATTCTGAACCCTCTATCGGAATAATACACTTGTTGGAAGGACACCATTCCTTTCAATCTCCCACTTGTCCTTCCGGACAAGTGTGCGATTTGTGCATAGCCCTTTTCCTATGTCTCTTAATGTCTCTTCATGAACTATAAGGTAAGATTCTTCGTCATCCTTATTACGTCCAGAAGTGTTTCTCAATTCCCGAGTTTGACTGTCAATAAACAGATGATTTCTAAAATCCATCTGAGCACGGCCATGCATTTTCACAGTCTCGCTCTTCGAGAGGCCTTGTAAACAACAAAGACATGTTCCCTATCGTTAATAGGGGGACATTCCCAGTCTTGTACTGTAAGCTTCTCTTACTAAGAGGACCTAGTCGCCTGAGTGTTGCCGTTATAATCCCCAGTTACGGCAGACGTTTGACAACGTCAAGAAGGCTTGTACTCAAACAAGAGAACTTGCAGTACTCATGGTCGAGGAAAAAAGTTCCGATAGCTATAATGAGAAATATACTTATGACGATTTGATATCTCTTAAAGTATTCTCATAGGTCTATCCGGTACAGTTCCAAACTAGCACATGTGCAAATGATTTATAATTATCATGTCCTTGTAGCACAAGAAACGGTGCTATAAATCATACTACACACTAATCTCAAGTGGTCATTAATCGTCCATCATTTAAATGACCTCGATTAGGGACAATTTTCGATTAAAATATTCAATGTTCACTTAACACATGTTTCTTTATCCAAGACATGGTCTTGATACCCTGTTTTGAATATTCTCAGAAATCGAATGGACTCATTATTTAATTCTAAACCACGATTAAATAGATATGGAGTAATAATAAATTTGCAGAAAGTTTAATTGCTCCAAAATTGAATGGTTCAACATAGTGTTTTACATTAAGACATCGAGTTTAATTTAAACATCTATACATGGAAATCATGTTAGGTTTCGTAGTGACCCACACTACGCGGAAAGAAACCTGCCAAGACCCGCCCCCATAATAAATGTAATTAACAAGCAAAACATAATTAAACACAAGAAAGGATAAAAGATTATACCTTTGACGCGTGCTTCGCTCAACTATGAGCTCTTACTTGAACCCCGAAAATACGAGCTCTCCAACGGGTACGTACCCTCGAACCCGACCCGAGCGTCCTAAGTCTCGAAGGTTAGTCGAGAGCCGGACAAATAAAACCATGAGTTTTACGAATCAAGGTTTACTCAAATCAAGAGTTGCCTTTTTAATTCCACTCAAGATTGTTCTTTCCCAAATACCCAAACTTTGGTATTTATAGGGAAATGAACCCTTGAACTTCAATTCCCAACCAATGTGGGAGAATGAATAATTTTGATAATTAATTTAATTCCAAAATAAATTAATAATCAAATCAATCACAATGCAACAAGTGTCAAGGAGAGAGAGAGGGTTAGGTGAGGACCATGAACCTTGGGGGGGACCATTGCCTTGCTCCCCAAGGCATGCTCCAAGCCTTTGGTCCCCACTCACCACAAACCGCCTCAAGCAAGGGTTGTTGGGCTGCTGCCAGCTAGAACGCCAGCTAGCACTGCCAGCTAGCCTAGCCAGCAGCCTCGCATCCCCAGCCAGGCAATGCGTGCTGGTGCTGGGCGATGCTTGTGCTGCTGCTGCGTGGCAGTGCTAGGCACTGCTAGCTGCTGGCGATGGTGCTGGCCCTTGCCTCTCTCGCCATCGCACACGCACACACCCACTCGCATATCCAGCACAGCCAGGCCAGAATACGCATAGCCCAGCCAGCGCACTCACACACGCAAGGCCTAGCATGCGTGCTGCTAGCGAGCCACGCATGCTGGGCTTGGTGTTGCATGCTAGCTTGTTGTGATTGGTGATGCCATGCGAACGCATGCACGCAAGCACACAGCTACGCGAAGGCTCGGTGCTGCATTGCGAGGCTGCTGGGTGATGGTGCACACGTACACGCACACACGCATGCGCCTAGCACTGTGATGGTGCTGTGCGTGGCGCTAGGGTGCTGCGATAGTGCCCACGCACATGCACACACACATGGGTGCTGTGCTTGGTGCGATAGGGCTGCGATGGTGCCTAGGCATCATGCTAGTGCTGCGATAGCGCCTAGGCATGTTGCTAGGGCTGCGATAGCGCCTAGGCACTCATGCCTCGCCTAGCACACCATGGTGCGCCTAGGCTTGCGATGAGCTAGCCTAGCCTAGCTACGGCCACGCTCATACTTGTCGCTTGTGATTTTGCGATGCTCGGTCTCGACGCCCTAAGCTCGATATCCGACGTCTGTATTCGTAAAACTCTGTCGACTCATTAAATCCTTCGGATTAATTCGTCATCTTGGATCGGTTGTTCGATTGGGTTCGACCCGAAGGGTTCAGTTAAGATTATGCTGTAATATTAATTGTACCTTAATATTACTGATAGGAAGCGGCCTCCACCTCGGCATTCCGATCACTTGACCTTACTGGAGAATTAGCTCTGTAATAATTCTGAACCCTCTATCAGAATAATACACTTGTTGGAAGGACACCATTCCTTTCAAATCAAAGCCAATCTCCAATGTGCTTGATTCCCATTGCCTCAACGTGCTTGTTGTGCTTCACTTGAGACAAAGGTTTAGTCAAAGGATCGGCTACATTGTCGTCCGTTCCAATCTTACAAATTCTGATTTCACCCTCGGATTTCCATTCCCTTATCATGTGAAATCGCCACTTGACATGTTTGACCTTCTAGTGTTCCCTTGGCTCCTAGGCCTGAGCAATAGCTTCATTGTTATCACAATAGAGGTCTATTGGACCCTTGATTGAGGGTACAACACCAAGTTCACCAATGAATTTACGAATCCAAACTGCCTCCTTAGCTACTTATGAAGCTGCCAAGTATTCGGCTTCAGTTGTAGAATCTGTAGTGGTGCTCTGCTTTGCACTCTTCTAACTAAACGCTCATCCATTAAGGTAGAATATGTACCCCGACTGCGACTTGGAGTCATCTCTGTCAGTCTAGAAGCTCGCGTCAGTATAACCTTCAACAACCAACTCATTACAGCCACTATAGACCAAGAATTTATCCTTGTTCCTTTTCAGGTACTTTAGGATATTCTTGGCCGCAGTCCAATGTGCCTCTCC